TCCATGAGCCACGGAGCCAAGTGCTTCTCCTCCGAATTCCTGTCCTACAGTCTGGGTCAGTCACACACACACACACACACACACACACACACACACACACACACACACACAGCAGTCTGTATTTCCAGCTCCACTCAGGCTTTTTTCTGCTAAGCATGCATCATCTTTTTTCCTCTGCATTGAGCTGCTTTGCATTCATAAACACTCACAGACACACACCTGGGAGCTGCTCCGTGAGAATGCAGTGTTTTGTTGTTGCACACTGAGCGGCTCGACTGAAGTAAGAGAAGGTCAAATGCCACTGCTCGATGTACACAGGCGGTAAACCACAGCCACATCTCATGCTAAATATTAGAATAACGTGGTCTTACATTTTACAGCAGTGCAGGGTGGTGTTGCATGTTAAGCCAGACTAGCCTTTCCTGGATGGAGGAAGTGAGGAATATTGTGCTCTTGGAAATTACTCAGTGGCTTATTAATGTGCATATTAATGCTGTTATGATGGCTGCCAGCCCTCGCTGTCTTCTGGAGTATATTTAATCCTAATCTCAGACTGGATTTCTGAATGAAGTCATTTTTCTATTGATCTGAATCGTTTCTGTTTCGTTCCCTCCTGACTGCCAGTGGCTGTACACAAAGTGGATGTAACTCCTCAGAGGTTGAGATCTCATGTAAACAAAGTGATGTGCAGAATGTGTAAGCGCATCCTGCTATAATTACAACATGGTAACCAACACCCGGCCCCTTTGATGTTCATGTTGTTATACTGGCGTAGGTTAAGTGCGTCATAAGCTCCTTGTTTCAGTTCTGTATTTTGCAGATTGAACAGTCGTGTGGTTTGGTGTTTGTCCCCCTGTGTGTGACTTTATGGTCACAGTGCTGCTTGTTGCTCTCCGGCTGTGGTTAACAGACTAAGGTCTTATTTGTTACCAACTTGTTGTGTCACCTCGGTAAGAGAAGCAAGATGGTCAAACTGATGTTGTCAACCCTGTTCACATTTTTGGTGCTCTGGATTAGCTCCTTTAGTTCTTATAAATGGTCGTCTTGTGGCATATAGCAAACCTCTGGTTAGAGTCTGGACTCAATGTGCGATGTGTGTTTTGTAAAAATCGAAGATGATACAGGGGATAAAAAGCTACACAGAAAGAATGAATGGCTGCATTTATATAACATTTTTCTAGCCTTAGCGACCACTCAAACTACTTAACAACACATGCCAGCAATCACATTCACACACACTTTCATACACTGGAGGCAGATGCTACCATTCGTCTGTTAATCATGAGTGATAAACATTCACACACATAATGAACAGCCATTAGGAGCAGTTTACGGTTCATTTCAGCCACTTCAATATGTAGACTGAGTCACAGCTGCCGTGTGACATATGTAAAACACATTGAAATGAAAACATACAAGCTATGAAGAGCAATAATACAATGAATGACTGCTCGGATAATACCTATGCTTTTGGAATAGATGTCCAAATAATAATAATTAATAATAATATTATTAATAATAATAAAATATAAGAGCTGGAATAAGCACGATAAATCATAGAAAAATATAACTAAATTAATATAAAAATAAGGAGTGCAACAGTTCACAATAGTTAGTCCACTCAGTAAAGTAAGACATGCATAAGACACAAGGAATAAATACAAGAAAATATAAAAAAATGTAAGAATGCAATGTACATAAAAATGATTCAAAGACAAATTAAAGGGGAAATAAGAAAGTTGTCTTCTTTCTGATTTTCAGAGAAAAAAAAACTTCAAATCTTCTACCTCTCCTGCTGAAAACGCTTTCTGCTGGGAGAAGTTTACTTAGCATTTAATACATCCTGAAGTCTGTGTTTTCTTCACATTAGTACCGGAAAGTCACGTCAAGTCCATAGGGGAAGAAGTGCATCAGATTTTGTGACATTAACCTGAGCTGCAGTTCACACTCGCCCCCCCGAGGATCTCTCTGTGAATGAACTAATAAATAAATGAAGTGATCAGAGCTTAATAAAGGAAGCTCTAAACTAATCAGTCTGGGTGTAACACTGGTTGCTATGGGGACCTCTGATGTTTATTCTTTTGCTCACCACTCCGTACTGCTAAGGTGCCCTTAATCAACATGCTTAACCTCAGTTTGTTTAACACAGCCGGAGAGAGAGAGCGCGCCCATGTTTATCAGTGTGAAGCAGAGTGTGGGTCAGAAAATGTGTTTTCTGTCTTCGACGATCAAAAGAGGAGATTGCAGCACGCTTTGTTTGCATTCTAATTATAATCCCATTTAAAGCTCTCTGGTGTGTCCTTATAGAAGTTAGCACAGCTTTGTCAGAAACCATAACAGCATCCTGATTTTGTCAGGCGCTCGCAAATATTGTTCTAAATTGAGTCGGCGTCCCTCCGCAGCGCTGTCATAAGCTGCTCATTGATGGGAGGTTCAGTCTGTCTGGAGCGGAAGGAGAAGTCCCCTGCAGGCCGGGAAGCGGCCTCCTGGGCGTTCTGCTTTTCTGTGTCATAACCAAAGTGATCGACAGACAACCAAATTACAAACTCATAGGCCCAAACACCCCCTCCCCTTACTGCGCAATGAGATTTAGTTTGTTCATGAGAATTGCATGTTGGGATGAAATATGTCCCTTAAAAATTAAGACTATTAAAAAGTATTAAAGGGCATTTTCCAAGGTATTACATTTTGTAGCTTGTTTTCAATAAGTATATCAATTGTCCAAAGAGGTTGTATTCTACAGTCTGCCTGAATGTAATCATTGCGTAGCTGTGTAGTGTGATTCTGTGTAGTTTATTTATGGCATCCCGTTGGATTTGACGTCATCTGAACAGGACATCTCACGCTCACTGCTTGATAGCGCGCGAAGGTCCGTTTACGCCGGTTGTTAAACAACATCGTTA